CCGTCAATTTCTTCTATGAGGTAACGCAAAAGCACCACTTTTCCAGTCTGTGTCAATTGGAGGACTAAGTTCTAAGTAATTGAAGTACTAAGTACTAAGTTCTGCTCCAAGTACTAAAAATGATTGAGTAAAATTATGTTGTTTTAACCAAAAACAAACACCTTAAGCGATCTTTTAAACTGGCTTATTGGTGCATCCGATGTAGTTTGGGCAAGATATCCACCGCCAGGTTCTAAAGTCACGGTAATGTGTTGCTTTTTGATAATAATAGGATGCAACTCTTCAATTTTTTTTTTTTTTGGTAGCTTTGACTCTAACCCTTATTTTTTTAAGTACTCTCGAACAATATCTCGCATCTTGAATGCAATAACTTACTTTCTGATCATCAATATGAATTTTGATCTTCTCGTTCTACAGCTGATTTACTAGTAATAATAACCAATAGGTTTTATTGTGCGTTAGTTAGAGGTGGTGAAGTTAAAGCTATCGCTCTCAATATTTCTAAAGCTTTTGATAAAGATTGGCATACTGGTCTTCTCCATAAACTCATTCTTACGGTGTATCAGGTAACATCTTTAAGATTATTGAATCCTTTCTTACAAATCGTAGTATAAAATTTGTCCTCGATGGACAGAACTCTTTTTTATATCCTGTAACTTCAGAAGTTCTTTAAAGTTCTATCCTTGGCCCTATACTCTTTTTAATTTACATTAACAATAATCCAGATATTCTCACATCTAAGGTGGCATTGTTTGCTGATGATACAACCATTCATTCTTGTTATGATAAGAAGCCAACAATCTCTGATTGCTTGGAGGGGGCATTTGAGATTGAAAAGGATCTCACGTCTGCTACCGCATGGGAATCATAGTGGCTAGTGATAATTCAGATAAAACCCAATTTTTTTCAGCCAATTGTTACCGCCATAATTTAGATTTTCTTTTATTTATGACACTAAATCATCTTCTTACTCCCTATCTTTTTTGGAAACCATATATTAAATCGATTGCAAAATTTGCATCAGCTAAGGTTGCATCTCTTTATTGTGCATGCCACTTTCTTAATTCAGATTCTATTCTTTTTCTCTATAAATCTCAAATCCGTTTTTGTATGGAATACTGTTGCCATATCTGGGGTGGATCTTCCGTTGATGCCCTTTCTCTTTTAGACGAGGTTCAAAAATGCATTGCAAACATAGTTGGATTTGCTCTTACAGCCAACCTCCAAACATTATCACTTTGTCGTAATGTTGCTTCTCTTTCTCTTTTCTACAAATACTATATCGGACACTGCTCTAAAGAGCTAGCATCTCTTGTGACATTTACTAGATTTTATTCTTGTTTTACTCGTCATTCTATTAAGTTGTATCCTTTTACTGTGACTGTTTGTAAATGCTCTCAAAATTCATATTTGTCTAGATTTTTTCCTTTTGAACATCAGTTTTTTGGAACTCGCTTTCTTCATCTTATTTACCTGATTCAGATAACTATCTAGTTTTTAAAGTCGTCTGTCAATCGTTATCTTGCTCTAGAAACTTTATCTTATTTCTTCCAGTAACTTCCAACTCTAATAGTGGTTGCATATAGCATTGTTAGAAGCAAAGATGTTGAAATGAAAAAAAAATTTAAGATTATTTTGACTTACATACAAATTTCTAGGTCATTTTCCAAATGAAATTTTTAATTGCTTCATTATTGTTTTGTGTCTGTCCTTGCAAACATTTAGATAATAATTCATCTCTGCTCAAGTCTTGAAAGATATATTTTAAAATTTTCTTTTGTTGCTAAAGGAAGATATAACTTTTATAATTACCAATGGCTTTGTAGTTTGATCTACTTATTAACTTATTTTGGCTGCTACATGCACCAGCTATTTATGTTTCGAGGAAAAAATTTACGTTTTTACTCTGTTTCATCAAGATTACCTGAGTTATCAAAAAGTGTTGCCCAAATAATTTTTTTCATTTCATAAATGCTGTTAAAATTTTGCCTTATGGCAGTACCATAATAATTTTGAAAAGTATTTATAGCTTTATCAGCTAATCATGCTTTACCCATTATTTTTCCCCTATTAGACAATATATTTAGTTTCATTAATTTGATTGTGATTTGTTAACTTCATTGTATGAGTATGTATCTCCATCTCCTAAGTAAGATATATACTTTAGTATATACTTTTTTACAGATCGTCTAAATATTTAAATAGCACCCACAGATGTCATTGATTCTGAGGACTTTACTTGGTTAATGAAACAAATGTGGTATTATAACCAGGTTCATTCTTTATTTTATTCCATTATTTACACCCTTTGCATTGCTTTGATAAAAAAAAAAAGGTCAACAGATTTTTGATTATTTGTCGATATCAAAATTACAACACCATTTATGGATGTGTGAACTCTATTTTGCCATGTACCATCAACAAAAACATGGCAATCAACAATACTTCTATTATCACTGTTTTTCTTTTTAATATAGAAAAGTTCATAACAAAGTTATAATTGTTCTTGTAATCTTGTAATGTTATTCTCAACAGTTCGACATTTCAACAGTTTTCGTTAGTAAAAACTTTGTACAACTTGCATATGGTGATGAAGGTAAACTATTTTCTTTGCACTTGTACAACTTGCGTTGTACAAGTGCAAAGAAAATAGTGGTGATGAAGGTAAACTATTTTTTTTTTGTTTATTATTGCATATGTGCTGATTTCCTTTTAATTTGTATTTACGTTTTCTAATCATACTGTGAGCCATTTTTTCTTTAAAAGGTGCAAACAATTTGATCATAAAAATGGTTTTTAAAAGTATTCAATTGTAGCCAAAGTAGTGTTTCTAGTTTGTAATGTTCAAACTGTAGAGTTTATTCTAAAGTTGTTTTGAGCACTGGTACAAACATAAAGCAAACAGAATGCTTTTAAGACTTAGGTTTCCTCCAAAAAGCTGATTTTAAAGTTAAAATACAACAAAACCAAACCCGTTGATATGGCGGTAACTAGGGATGTCAGAAAAACTATGGTAAAATAAAATATAACTATCTAAAAAACTAAATTGAAGTATTAGAAACCGTTTTCATGTTAACAATCTCCATTAAATTTTGCATAAAAATCAAGTAAAAAACAAAGTTTAACTTTTTTTATTTTTGACGGAATTTGCTACCTTAAACGAATAAAAATATTTGTTAAGCAAATAGTTAAACAAATTATTAAACGAATAATATTATTTGCTAAACGAATAATATAAATCGTTAACTGAAGTTTAACGAATAGTATCATTCGTTATAACTATATTCGTTTACGAATAACACGATAACACTTTTTTTTTCAAATAGTATTAAGCATATTTTGTTATCGGCAAATGCAGCATTTTTATGTTTGTAATAACTAATTAGACATGGAGCAAACTCTAAACATTTATACTTATGTCAAATAAAAATGTTTTGCAAATAAAATTCGACCACTATGGTCTGAGATCAAAAAAGCCCTAAAATTATGGTGACACCTGCCCTAAAATTATGATACCTAAAATGTGATGCCCAAATCTTGAGAACAATAAGTTATTAAAAATTTTTTTAAAATATACTCAAATAAAAAATAAATTTATCAATAATATTTAAAATTCATACAATAATCTTTTAGCGTTTAAAAATTACCACCATAAAAAGTTTAAACCCCCCTCAATTTTAGGTAGTTTTTGATTTTATAAGGCCAAAATTTTTCAAGAAGGATCCTAGTACAAGCTTAGTTGTACTAGGATCCTTCTTGGAAATTAGAAAAAACTCCTATCTTCATTGAAATAGCAATCTGTCATTTTAAAGCTATATCATTTTTAATGATGTAGTTCTATGAAATTGATATACTTAAAATACCAAGATAATTTTACATTCTTGGCGTGATATATAAATTTTTTATTTATACATTCAAAAAATTTTTCTGAAGAAAAATTATTAAAAATATAAAAATAAGTTGCGAATCGTGTCAAGTAGAAAAAAAATCGTTGCTCAATTTATATATAAAAAAGTAATACTTTGGCTCTGCCACATGCGCATTGTCAACAAACACAAAAATATCTTAGTCATAAGATCTTATGACTAAGATATTTTTATGTTTGTTGACAATGTTATCATCTATCCATATTTATCCACAAATATATAAAAAAAAAACTTTGTATCTGGACTTGATAAATTAGATCTTAAGATCTAATTTATCAAGTCCGTCGTAGATAGATAATAACGAATATTTTCTGTGATCAGTGGAAATGATTTATAAAAGTTTAATTATAAAAATGTAATAACAATTGCAGTTAAGTTCAAAATGCGATCGTTAGTGGTTTCTTGTCATCTTTGTTTGTTATTCCTTAATGTTCACCTAAATGTTGTTGGATATTGACATTATTGTATTTATAATTTATAATTATTTTGTTTTATCATCAAAACAACTTACCTTAAAAAACCATATAACTAAGCATGTTAATATAAACGAATGGTTTATTTGGGCTAATATTTGCCATTTGCTAACCATTTTTTAATGATTTAAAACCTTAAAGCAGACTACTCTAATAGCTCCTATAAAAAACAGGCTTTAATAAGTTCTGCAATATCAATTTGTTTAACTTTTATTTGGCTGTGTCTGAGTGTCATAAATATTGGTAAGATTATTTATAAAGAAATTATGTAATATCTTTTCAAAAATGACTTTTTGAATTATATATTGCATACTACTTGTATCAACATTTTTTATTGACTTAACAAGACTTATTTGCTGCAATGTTACTTGTTAAACATTAATTTATGATCAAAGTACTTGTTTTATACAAACTAATATTTCATTTGTAAAATATAATGAAAGTAAAAAATTCACTAAAAGTGAGTGAATAAGTATAATATATTATAATACTGTATAAATATTTTTATGTATTAAAGTGTTTTATACATACATTTATAGTATTATTATATTATATATTATAATATATTAATTATAAATTATTAATATAAAATTTTTTTAGTTTAGACTCTATCAGATATTATTTTCACCTAACTCCAAATAAAATGCTGCTTTTAAAAGTTGCTTCATTGTTATTACTTCTTACTAATCTATCAACAGGAGATGATCATATTCCATTGTTTATAAATGGTAGACCAAAAGGTGGTTTCATGGGAACTCCAAAAGTGAAAAATCAGTTTTTATTAAACAATATTGAACCTCAGTGGTTCACTCAAAAATTGAATCATTTTGATGATGCAGATGATTCCACGTGGAAACAGCGATATTATGTAAATGATGAATATTTTGATGGTGGACCAGTGTTTTTAATGATAGGTGGTGAAGGTTCTCTGAGTTCTTTATGGGTTAATGTTGGTGCAATGGTTGATTATGCCAAGCAACATAGTGCTCTTATCCTTGGATTAGAGCATCGGTTTTACGGGGAAAGTCATCCTTTAAGGTATTTTTAAAATTCTTGTTATTTTAAACTCATCTTTAAAGGTAACATATTTTTAAAATTTGTCTTTTATGGCAAAATTTTTTTAACTTGAACGTTAAAGACTTATGTTATAAGAAAAGTTAATTTTAGTTTGATGAAAAAGAAAAATAAATATTTATTTGAATTTGATTTGAAACGCAAAAGATTACTAAAATTTTAAATCATTGTTGTAGTGTTATTTTATCGTTTTTTCAGTTAATTATAAAACAAAACAAACCAACTACATAAAACAAAAAAAAAAAAAAAAAATATTCTGCAGTCAGCAAGTCTCTTATTTCTTTTTCTTAACTAAAGCCCTCAAAGTCATTTTTTTTTCTTTAATGAGAATCTATAATTTTTAAAATAGTTGTTAATAATAATAATAATAATAATAATAATAATAATAATAATAATAATAATAATAATAATAATAATAATAATAATAATATATATATATATATATATTTATTTATTTATTTATTTTACACATCAATTATAGTGTTAATAAAAACCAAAAGTATTTAATTTTTTATTTATTTATTTTAAAATTAATTAACACTTCACCCATAACTCCCTCTTTATAATTTCCATTATAATGAAAACTAATAAAATAATACTTTGCAGTTAGTTAATCAAAGTAATTAAAAAATTAAATTAAATATATACCACTATATAGTTTAATAATATCCTGAAATTGTAGTTTAAAGCACTACAAGGCTTCTCAGGAGAGGCATTCGGTTGCACACCTTTTATGACCACACATACAATTTTGTTTTTGACAACTTGGTTACAGCTATTTGAAAATATTTATTACTTGTGTGTTTTAAAAAATGTGTTAAAAAATCCTAATTTTAATAAAAAATTAAAAATAAATAAACCATAAGCTGAAAACAGAAATGAACTTAACAAATGATAAAATAAAAAAAGGAGAAACTAAAAGAAAAATAAAATAAATAAAACTAATACTTTTTCAAGTTTTTTATATATTGGCACGTTGATTTAGCGCTTAGGCTGTTGTGTCGTTTAGGGTATTGTGTGATTTAGGCATATTGTGTCATTTAGGCTATTGTGTCATTTGTGAGGCGAGACAGTTATTTTGGCTTTGTATGAGGGTTTAAATCCTACTACTGGATCTTTTTTTAATGCTTAATTTGCTTTGTAGACATTAAAAATATCAAAGTTTCAAATTTTGTGTTTTTTTTGTAGTAATTAAGCTTGATTAAATAACTTTAAAACTTTCTTTAAGTTTTAAATTTAAATAAATTTAAAACTCAAGTTTTTTTTTTCTAATTTTTTTTGTAGTTTATTACTTATAAGTCAAAATAAAAATATATTTTAAATTTATGCTTTTGTTTGTTCTGGTTTATTTTTTATTCATTTTATCATTCTTAACATATTTTTTAGTTTTTATTACTTATTCCAGTTAATAGTTTGTTTTTAGTTTAAGTTTACATTTGTTTAGGCAACCTATTTTTTAATACTCTTATTTAATACCTTCAAGGAGCCGTGGCCAAGTTGTTGAAACAAAATATTATATGCGTGCTAATATAAGGCATACAACTGCACGCAACTGAGAAGGCTTGCACTATAAACAAAATCATAAAAATACAAAGAAAATTTCTCAACTAAATAAATTTACTTTGTTGCCTTTTTTCAAGTCAATATCATAAAATCCTTCTCTGTTAGAGAAACATGGAGCTTGATAATTTATTCTAATCTTCTACAAAAATATTAGGTAAAACCTTTTTAAAACTGTGCACCACTTGATATGAAATATTCATTTTATAAATCATATTTATGCCATGTTGCAATAGAATGTTTATTTAATTTTTGTAGTTAGCTGAAAAAAAAGTTTATTAAATCTTTAGTGACATGTCCACAGAAAATCTGAAATATCTCAGCAGTGAACAAGCCCTTGCAGATTTGGCCCACTTTAGAAATGAAATGGCATTAAAATATTCACTTAATGATAAAAATCGATGGATAGCATTTGGTGGCTCATATCCTGGTGCTTTAGCGGCTTGGCTCCGCTATAAGTATCAGCATCTAATTTATGGTATAAAAATTATATATTTTTAAATATAAAATGTTTAAAAAATATTCAGTTCAGTTTATTTAATCATGATTTTATAAATTTAAAAAAAAAGATTTTTTGAAAAATTATTAAATCCTAATCTCTGTTTATTGTCACCAAGTTGAAAATAAAATAAACAATAATCACTTTTTATATCCGCAATAATATTTGTGTTCAAAACTAATGTTTTGAATTTAGATTTAAAACAAATACCCCTTATTTGACTTTTAAAACTTTAAGTTATGTTGAATTAATTTCACTTTTAGGCAACCATGAAAATTGTATATATTTTGTCTATTCTTTTAACATTATTCTTTTAAGAATATGATGTTTGATAATCTTTAAGTTAATGAGATTGCAATTTAATTTTTGTTAACAAAGGTCATATCATACAAGAATAAACCAAGTAGAAAATAAAATGAAAATAAACACTTAGGTTTATCTAAGCTTCTGTGTTTTGTAAGGGTGTGCAACAAATTATGGTATTTTAGTTTTAATATTCAAGGGTTTTCTGGTACAATAGTTATTGTTATTGTTAAAATAAAAATACATTTTGAAATAAATATAAACAATTTGAAACAAAAGTTCAAGGGTTTTCAGGTACAGTAGTTAAATATGAATTTTCTTATAAGTAGTTTTTTTTGTTACAAATGATATTTGGAAGTTTATTCTAAAAGTTTTGGACTATAGTGAGATAATGCTCAATTACCTCAAATAATTTTTTTAAAGTTACATATTGACTAGGGTGCTTCTGCATAAGAGATTAGTGCATTATTAAAGAAAGTTTAAATAAATTTTTGAATGGCTGGCCATATATTTAATATTCTATTCTGGTTCTAAAAACCAGTTTTGCTCCACCATTTTAAACAGAACTTTACATGGCAAGAATTGTTTTATTTAGGATATTATTTGGATATATTCAGAAAACTATTAAAAAAAAACTGCATTTCCCCCGTAGTTCAATTTTTTTGAAAAGGATGCTTTTCACTTTCAAAAAAAAAAAAGAGTTATTAAATCATTAACAAAACTTCACTATGGGGGAGTGGAGGGAAGGAATTGCAGTTTTTTCAGTTTCCCAAAAATTTACATTATTTGGCTACCTTTTAAAAAAATAAAAAATAAAAAATTAGAAAAGTTTGCATTTCCATTGGCGGTTCTTTTAAATTATTATTTTTTAAATAGTAGTGCCTTTATAAAGCATTACAGTTTTTAATTCAATTATTGGTTTATTTTTAAAATGACTTTTTCATTACTTTTTGTTGCAACAGTTAATGCTTTTCTTTTATAGGCAGTTTGGCAAATTTGACCATTTTATTATTAATGGTATAATGATATTATACAGTATATCACAAAAAAGATTTTAAAAAAAATAAATTTTTCAGTACTGCTTATCTGTGTTTAAAGAAAAAAAAATTTTCTTTTTTTTTTACTAATTCTACTACAACTTTATAATTATGCAATATTTTTATTCACATTTATAATACTAAGTTCTGCTTTAGGGTAATTCAATGTCAAATGACCCAGGTCATGTCACCATACATTTCTGATTTTTCTGATTTTTATACAGTTGAGAGTGCTTAATAAAATAAGTAGCTTTGAAATTTTTAGCCTCTGGCTCTAAAAAGATCATGAAATATGATCGTTTTTCTTTTAACTGATACTGGCCATGTTCCTCCTGTCCCCTCAAAATTGCAACATTTATTTAGAGGTTTCAAGTCACATAACTTTAAAAAGTATTTGATTTTTTTTTACTTAAAAAATTGTAACTGGTTATTTTTAGGGGTGACGAATCCAATGAATTGATCAGAAGTGTTAAAAATTATTATTAGGTACCTGTAATTATGAATTTAAATAAATTTAGGCAATTTTTTATATACCTGGTTCAAGACAACGTGGTTAAGAAACCGACGTCGTCTTGATGATATCAAAAATAGATATATTGCATATCATTCTATATTTTGATCTGTAGGTATATGGTGTTCCATATATATAATGGGGCACATATGGATAATGGAGCACAGTTCTCATATTTTTGTAGCGGAGTATTGTGCTTGATTTTTCACTACCTTCCAGACTAGCCAGAGCTCTGAAAAATTGTGCATTTCTGTATTGTCAATGAATGTGCATGTTAAAATTGTTTTTAACATGCACATACATTGGGCCCCAACACATTAGGAGACTGGGGTAAGTGCCCCACTTTTTTGTAGTGGAATCTGGTGATGGATTTTCCTAACTTTCCAGACAATCAATTTCAACATTTGTGTAGTCCTGATGAACGTGTGTTCAAATTGTTTCCAGGACTGACAACCAGAGGGTCCATGGCTTAGGGAATTGAATCCATTTATTTTCTTAAAAAACTGGGGCCATTTATTTTCTCAAAAAAAAAAAGAATTTTATTTTTAGTTTTTTCAATAAAGCAAAAATAACTTTGAAAATATTGTTTTCAAAATTAGTTTGAATCTTGTTCAAAATTTTGTTAAGATTTGCTTAGATGCACCAATGGTCAAAGTATACATACGTCCAGTTGTTGTTACATTAATGATACAAATTGTTGGTAATTATGTTAATCATCTGTTCTACATTGTCAATTTATCATACTAATCTTATGGAACATCATATTTACACAGAACAAATTTACCAAATTTCAATGTATTGAGCTTAATTTTTAATGTATTGATGTTAATTTGTTGATTTGGTTAAATACTTTGTATATCAGAAAAAGTAAACATGCCTGTTATATTAAAATTTGCACTTGTTTATTTAAAGCTAATAGTATCTCTAGATTCTGGTTAAATTGATTTGAGCTCTTAATTCCAGGAATTGTTCTACTTAGCTGCAAACGTTTTTTGAAAGTGGTGTACAATTCTGTCAGTCTTCATTTTCAATTTTGAAAAAAAGGCTCTTTAATATTTTTCATTCAGCTGTCAATTCAATATTCTATTATTTATATCATTTATTGGGTTTTGTAGACTTTTATTTGCAGTTAATCTTTTTACAGTACCACCAATACAATCACATGGTGACTTACTGTGACTTGTAGCAAAAATATTCACTCTGCATCAATGTCTAAATCATCTTTATGGAAACAGATATTGTAAAATTTTTTGTTCTATGCTGCCTAACCATCTGAAAAATAAAGAATCTTTAAAATATTTAAATAATTTTCTTTTAAATAATTAACTATTTGTGCCTGAATTTTATACACAAAACCAATGTCGTTATCTTTTGAAAAGAAGTTTTTTACCAAAAAATTTTTTTACTTCTTCTCAAGAGATAATGTTTTTTTATTTTCAGTTTGTTTATTTTTTTGATAAGTATTGCAGTCTTTTCCGTTTGACGAGCCCTTTTGCAGTTTTGCACATGTCTGCCAATACTATGGCTACCGCTTTTTTAAGCGCTCGCCAAAAAATTTCAATCATATTTTTAAATTGCATCAAATCTTTTTTTATAATCAAATTTTAATTAAAGAAGTACAAAAAACAAATATATTTTCAAATCGCGCCCGCCAGACAAACAATTACTGACCAGCACTTTTTTGTGCGCTGGCAGTAAATTTCAAACAGTGAAGATTGGTAACGGGGTGTAACATGCATTGACTTTGACACTAATGGCAACTTTTGATTTCATATTGAATCACAAACATGTAGTTTTTTGCAAAATCACCTAAGGCAGTACAACAATCTTTTCCTTTTGTTGCCTTAGATATCTTGCTTGATATTTTGCAATGTGGGAAAGAGCTGTTAACTTTTTTATTGCCTCTGATAACATCAATTTTATTCTTCAATTGTTACTCTCTGTCAGAACAATGTTTCTGTTTTCTTTTCAATTCAAAAAGTTTTAAATTATACAATGTAAAATTCTGTTAAAATTGCTAATTTAGATAAAGTTTTTTTTATCTGTTTACTTGCAAATCATAAATCTTATAAACATTATACTTAAAACATTTTAATAAAGATCATTGAATACTGAATAATCAAAAACTGAATGAAACAAATATAAACTAAAAACTTTTTTTAAAGAAAGTATTATTAATTTTTTCTTTATTTAAAATGCAAAAAAATCTTATTTTGTTGAGAAAAGTGGGGAATGATTCCTAGTGCTCCGGCCTTATGGACTCTCTGATCATTTGTCCAGGAAACAATTTTAACGCACAATCAGAACTACACAAATGATGAAAGTTTCAGCTCCAGTTTGTCTAGAAAGTAGTGAAAAGTCTATTACCAGATTCCACAGATGACTCAACTGCCTGGTACAACTTTAACATGCATGTTGATTGGTACTACAGAAATGCCAAGAGGGACAAGGCCAACATCTGCTAGAGCCAGATGCTAAAATTTTCAGGGAATTCTTATTTTATCAACTGTTTAAAAATCAGCAAAATCTTAAGTACTACAAAACAATTGCAAAAACAAAAAAAAAATCCATCTGATACTCAAATTTTTTATTTTTAATTTTATCTAGTTTGCACAAGTTTTTAAATTTTTTCTAATCAATATTTATAAAAGAATAACACAAAAATGATTTTTTGTATTTATGATAAATTATACTTTTGCAAGAGCCGTAAAACATAACTGTCCATCGTTGAGCCGCAAAACTTAATTGTCCTGGTTGCCTGTAAACCAGGACTTTAAGTATTTTTAAGCATTCTCTTTAAAATGAGCATTAAAATTTGAGGTTATTTTTACTGGTAATGTTATTGTCAAAATAAAGAATTGGAAAAATACGAGTCAAAATCCTCTACCTAGATACCAAAATGTGGATTGGCTTACACTTCACTACAAACATCATGGGCAACCAGAAAACAACAGGCAGAAATCCAACCCAACATTTTTGCTATTATTGTATTGCTAAGAATTACAAATTCTTAGTTATACATCATGTAACGTACTTGTTTCCATTAAATTAAATCAAAATTGTATTTAAAAATAAGGCTTTTGTTTTCATGTATAAATTTTTTTGTTTAGAAGGCAAGTTGGGGGAGAGAAAAGTAATTAAGGGGCCCAGATTAAAATTTTTCGGGAGTGCTATTTTTTGTTGCTACGCTACTGTTCTTATTGTTCAGTTTTAGTTTTTTTTATTTTTAAGAAAGTTTAGTAAAACCAGTGTAAATATGTTATGTTTGATTCTAGAAATACATTTTGTTACTCTAGGTGCAATCGCTAGCAGTGCTCCAATTTATGCCCAACTCAATTTTCCACAATATCTTGAAGTTTCTACAAATTCTCTTAGTTCTTCTAGATGTCGTGCAAATGTCAATGCTGCAACAAAAATTTTAGAAAGTTATTTAACTACAGAGGAAGGTTTAATGAAACTTTCAAAGGATTTCAAGTAATAATACTTTTGAAGTTCAATTATTTTTATATGTTAAAGATAAATAAAAATGTTATATTACTAAAATAGAAGGTTTATGTTTGAACAGGTAGCATCTATCTTAGACAGATAAAAAAAGAAATTCAAAAAAAAAAAAGGATTTTTATTTTAAAAAAATGTCTAGATCATGGTCTGCATTTTCAATAAATTATGAGATATAAAATATGTGCAAAATATTAGAGAGCACTGACATCAATCCATTGTAGCAGATATGGTTGTGCTTTCTCAAGTTTTTAATAAATATGTAATAAATAACTCTTTTTGTTGTGCACAACTTAAATAACTATAATATATTTCATTATGTTTTTATATGTTACAGATTTGTATTTAAAAAAAATAATAATAATAATAATAAAGAAATAAACACAGTTTTTATACAGTTTTTTTTTGTTTTATTTTGTAAACATTTGTAACAATTAAAATTAATTTTCAGGACATGCAAACCAATAACAAATGATCTGAGAAATATCCAAAATTTTGCAAATAACGCTGCAAACAACTTCTTTGGTGTTATTCAGTATAACAAAGATAATCGAGAGTTTGAGGTAACAAGAAAAACTTGTTCTTTTCTGGTCTCAATTCTTTATACTTATATAAAAAATAATTTGGGTTAAAATGATTTAGATCTAAATCATTTTAACCCAAATTATTTTTTATATAAGTATAAAGAATTCATATCGAAGTTATATATATATATATATATATATTATATATATATATATATATATATATATATATATATATATATATATATATATATATATATATATATATATATATATATATATATATATATATATATATATATATGTATATATATATATATATATATATATATATATATATATGTATATATATATATATATATATATATATATATATATATATATATATATATATATATCAAATAAAAAGTAAAACCATATAATTTCTTATACTTTTGCATTGGTTCTTGTTTAAAATTATTTAATTTCTCAATATTTATTTTTTCAAATAGTTTTGATAAATAAAGTAAAAATGTTCATGACACATTTTTTTAAAACACTCTTTTAATACTTTTTAGTGATGATAAAATTATTTTTTAAATTTTTTATTTTTGTTTCTTCTATTAATAATACTTTAACATTCATAAAACAGTTTACTGTATTCTTTTCTGATACTTCAGCTTCCATAAAACAGTGCTTTGTCATTTTTTTTAATAATACAACATCCATAAGTTAGGGCGCTGTCTTCTTTTCTGATTCTTCATCATATATAAAGCAATGTGGTGTTTTTATTTTCCAAGCGTTTTATTTTCTGTCCTTTTTATTTTCTGGCCTTTTCATTTTCTGGTTTTTTTATTTTCTGGCTTTTTTATTTTCTGGTCTTTTTATTTTCTTTCTAAATTTTTTGTTTGTTTGTTTTGAAGCTTTTGTACACTACTTTTACATTTTCTGTACTTTTACGTTTACAAAATAGTTCAAAGTTAATTTACTGATATTTTATTTGTTGTTGATTGTTCTAAAGATCTTAAGAGAAATAAAAAGTTAAAATAAAATCCATTTAAAAACAAATATCCAGCATTTCTAACTTTAAATATTTTAACTTATGATTGTAGCACATATACACATATATATTAAAATTGGGTCAAATCGATCACCGAACAATAAAAATCAGTTAACTTAATTTTTTTTTTTTAATCTTAAACTATTTTTTTAAAATAAGATAGAAATTACCATTATAAAAATTATCAATTATTATTATTTTTTTAATTGCATTTGAAAATATAAAAACCAAAAGAACAAAAAAAGATTGCTTTTGCCAAATCTATATAAAATACATTTAGTAAATTTTAACATTTTATATATCTAAATGCAGATATTTTATATATTTTTTATATAGCATGCATAAATAATAAAATATTTAAGTTTTACATTTTTTACAACAAAAAAATCTGAACTTATTACAAATTTTTGGCAAACATGTTGTTGCATATCCAAGTATTGCAATTTGGATTCTTGCATGACATCATGTCTGAATGTAATTCTTTTTACACTTTCTGCATTTAATAATCTTTTTTCTTCTTTTGGCTGAAGGTGATGTAATTGGTTCTATATTATGGGTTACTTGTGGTAGTATAAAGCACTCGCTTCATAAGCAAGGTTCTATGTTTGAAGCAAGGTTCTATGTTCGCACTTAATTTATTTGTTGAGGTTCGTGTTTTGGAGTTATAGAGTTGAGAGAGGGTAATAAACACAATTAAGTAGCCTCCTTGTCTGTAATGGTCTTCTCAGCCTTAAAGAAGTGAATTAAAAAATTAAAAAAAAATTTCATTTTCTGCAGGGTTTGGCAATAGCATTATGGGTTTGCAGATGGATTTACATTAAATTAAGTTGCTAAACTTCTTTTTTTGGTTGTTGAGATGATCTGCAAGATTGTGTTCTCTAACACATTGGCCAGCAATTTTCGGAATATTAAGTAGATTGTTTAAAGGTTTTGAAGGTAACTAATGCCTGTTGATTGAATTTATGGAGATAAGCTTGTATATTCAAAACCAGTAATAGCATATAAAACACTTTCCACTCTCATACACCTGTTTGAGCAACAGAGAAAAATTTTCTTTATCTAAGTTTTTGCATTTTGTGTCTTGTGAACCTTAATAACATTAACATGGCGACTCTGTCCAGTGGCTGAAGAATGTTAGATTAATGTTAAGTTTCGTTCTGCTTTGTATTCCACAAATGGTGATGTAAAGTATCCATCAACATTACACCAGTTATTCACTGTATAATGGATTTTTTTATTGTTACCAGTGAGTTTCAAAACATGCTCTGAACCTTATCGATATATACATTTGCTTTGCCTTGATCACCAAAAAAACCCATATTATTGCAATCCCAAATGTGACAACCAGAAGTTATACCAGACAATTGATATTTTAAGTGGCAACTTCAAAATAATTATCAATTATTTCTTTTGTATAAGAAGCGGCTCTGACAGATGCTAAATTATGAGTTTTTCTTGTGGAAATTTATTTTGTACCAAGAAGGTAACCACATACAAAGTCCATGACATCATTTTGTGTTTAACCATAACTCTAATCACATAGGAACTTAAATGCATGCACCATCATTGATTCTATAATTTGAGAGTGCTTTTGTTGATCCTAATTAGGGTTGAAAATTTCTGGAAATTTTCCAGAAATTTTCGAATCTGAATGTTTGTAAAAAAATTTTTTTTCAAAAATGAATTATTGACAGTGAATATTCACTTAAGTAAAATAGTTTACTTGGAAAGAACCCAGAAGGTTATACTTTTACTGAGAAGAACTTATAACTAACACATAAAAAATCAAATAATTTATTTAACATAGTTACCTAATTTATTTCACATAGTTACCTAATTTTAAAATACACATGTTACTTAATAAAGGAGTTTAAAGTAAGTATGTGAATGGTTTTACCAGAAAAAATTTAATAATAATTTGAAATTTAAAAATTTCTAACATTTTTGTCTGATTTTTAACAAAAAAAAATTAAGTAATTGGTATTAAAATTCAATTTACTACAAGTGGTATAATAATCTTTAAACTAATTATGGTTCCCAAGTTGTCACAATAGCAAATAAAAAGATTTACGACTTTTATAAAAATAAAATTTCTTATAAAAATAAACAGCACTCATAGTGATATAAATTACTTTATTTTTATTTTTACACATAGAGGAGATAAGAATATACATAGAGGAGATAAGAGATAGAATAGAGGAGATTTCTCTTTGTTCTGGTGTTTTTATTTTTTTATCATTCATATCATTTCCAGTTTTATTTAAATTTTACTATCTGTGATAGAAAAAATAGTATGATTGGTTTGACTCGTGTCACATGATAGAGCCACATGTCACATGTTACTCTATATACTAAGGTTTAAAAAAAAAGAAAAAGAAAAAATAAGCCAAATAAAATCTTACTGCTTTAATCAACTTCAGTTTATAAAGCTACTAATTTAATAATCTGATAGGCTTGGTTGGGAAGCGGGAGCGATCCCTTTCAAATACTGACCCCAGAGTTTATGTAAATCCGTAAAACAAAAATTTTTTGTTTTATGGACATACATGGAAACATACATAAACTTGAATGTTCTCAAAATATCTTGGTGCGGAAAAATAAAAAGAATATTGGCATACACTAAAAACCTGCCAAATTTATGAACAAACTAATTCTATAGGTTCAAAATATATGCTGACTAAGCGAAACAAAGTTCTTGAGTATTCTGTTGAAATATTTTTAAAAATGTATTATTCAAGATTTGTTAAGTTTTGAGATTTCTAGCATTAATTGTTTTAAGAATGTCAAACGAACTATTACTTTAATACTATGGCTCTATCTCGGAGCCACATCTGCACTATGGAGTGCAATATACCTGCGAATCTGTAAATCTGCAAATCTGTAAAGCTTTATCTTTTAAACTATTATTATTTGTTTACAAAAATAAATGTTTTATAATATACATTTTTTAAATTGTCAATATTTTGAAAGTTTATCATAAATTATAGATTTTATTAGTATATTCTTACTTTTTATTTAAAAAGTATGTATTTTTTATGTAAATGTAATTTTGTATATTTGTTTTTTATTCTAATGTAATCTTTTCAAACAATTTTCATGTAAGGGACATAAAAACTTTAAACAATAATTGCGTTTTCAATGAAGTTATTAATAATCATCAAAGTTAATAAAGCTAATTATGAAATACAAACAAGAAGTTACTAAACACAAATATGCATATTGCAAATAAACAAGCACCGCGCCTGAGGTCACACATATATATATATACATATATATATATATATATATATATATATATATATATATATATATATATATATATATATATATATATATATATATATATATATATATATATATATATATATATATATATATATATATATATATATATATATATATATGTATATATATACAGACGTTCTCAGAAGACGCGTGCAGTCGCACTGGTCGTGGTCGTGAATGACCACGCATATATATTTTTTTATTTGATACCATAGCTGCGATTTTTTTGCATTTAATAAAAATGATGCATTTTAAAAACGTGCTGAAAAAACCAAATTAATTGCTCATCTTTTTTTTTATTATCAATAATTCATTATTATAGTTATTAATGAGAAAATAAAAACATTAAAATAACATATATGGGCAATTCCATTTTTAACTTATGTTACACGCACAACAACTTTATCAAGTATTTGCTTATTTTAACTTTTAAATTAAACTTTTAGCAATTTTGTATGAAAGCTGTTAGTCTAATAAATAAAATAAGCTTAAAAGTTTTGAGTTTGGCCAAAAGAGAGCAAACTTATTACTGAAAATGCCACTTGCACTTATGTTACATGGAAAACAAGGTAAAAAAACTGATTCAACTTATAGGTCTCATTTCTGCGAATCAGTAAAACAGTTTGTATTAGAAACTTTCACAAAATGCAGAGAATTCTATACCAATTTAAAACTTTTATAAAATTTTTTTTAAAATAAACTTGTTTTTTTGATACTGTATTTTTTACTTAAGTTACATCACTTACATTATCGAGCGGTTATCATGATTTTTATTATCTATTATTAAGAGTTAGAGTTACGTAACAAGAAGGCGACACGTGCTATACGTACACGTGCTATATATAGAGTTACGTAACAGAAGGCGACACGTGCTATATATATATATATATATATATATATATATATATTGCGTTCTATATATATATATATAAATATATATATATATATATATATATATATATATATATATATATATATATATATATATATATATATATATACGTATATGTATTGCGTTCTAAGGTAAGCAGTCTGATATCAAACTGAAATAGCCTGCTGCCTGGGGCTTCAGTACATACATTGACTGACACATAACCTGACTCGCAGTAGAGTGCTGCTACATCGACTAAGGGTTTGGGATGGTGCAGCAATAATTTATTCATCATTCTACATTTTTTTTCTTCTTTTTCTAAAAAAGCCGTATGGATTAAGGTAAGCACAAAAATGAGCAAATGCTTATAAAAATACGCTTTAGTAAGTGTATATATATATATATATATATATATATATATATATATATATATATATATATATATATATATATATATATATATATATATATATATATATATATATATATATGTATATATATATATATATATTTATATATATATACAAATATATATATATATATATATATATATATATATATATATATATATATATATATATATATATATATATATATATATATATATATATATATATATATATATATATATATATATATATATATATATATATACAAATGCTTATAAAAATACGCTTTAGTAAGTGTATATATATATATATATATATATATATATATATATATATATATATATATATATATATATATATATATATATATATATATATAATATATATATATATATATATATATATGTATATATAAAGTTTTTAGATATAAAGAATATAGAAAAAGTATTGGTTAACCAACTAATTATTTTCACTTCAGTTGCCATTCTTACAAACTCATTACACTTGAATTTAAAGTTATTTTTTTCTTTTTTAAATACTAATTATAAATAAAAATATAATTAAAATAATAAAAATTATAATTAAAAAAGCCCTCTCACTAAACATCATCAATGGTATTGTAAAGCAGTTTCGCTTCATTGTTATAAAGTAATTTTAACCTTTTTAGTTGATTTTTATCTAGTTAAATTAATTTCTACAGTAACTCAATGATTTAATTATTTCATTTGTTCATCTTACTAAGAAGAATTGTTTCAATTATGTTAAACTTTTCAAACTACGCGAAGCTTAAAAAAGTTATTAAAAAAATTAACTTTTTTTTTTGTAAAATAATTTAGCTTAGATAAAACTAAAACTAGCGTTAGTTATAATTTTGTTAGACTTTTCGGGGCCAAGGGCTATTTTTATTTTGAAGGCCTTCTAATATGCCACAGAGTAAAAATAACTTTTGTGGGACCCGGGGCTAAGCTTCCTCTAACCCCAACCCTACTTAATCCAACAATGAAAACAAGACACGAGTATATAAATAAAAATTATATTCCACTCTTAGATAAATAAGATAGCATTTGTTTCCTTTTTAAACAATCGTACCGTATTTCTTAATATAAAAAATGTTGCTTAATTAACAAATTAGAAAAGAGTGATGTTTTGAAAATATTTGTTCTAAACCTAATTTATTTTGTATTTAGTTTTTTCGTGTTAAAAGACATTTTGCTAGTTTTTTTTTTTTTTAATTGTCTCTCATCGGTCCAAGAATTTTTCCGCTTTGTTTTTGTTTTTTAAAATGTTTTTAAAACGACTAAAAAATCTGGCCAGCTTTTTGCAACTAAATATTATTTACATGATCAGTAATCAAGAGTTGCTCCTGCTTCCTGAACAAACCTTATTATTGATAACTAAGCCTTATTATTGATAACACTAACCAATTTTACAAATTGAAATCAAGTCTGGTCTAATTTTAATCTGGAAAATTGGTTAGTGATATTGATGGTCAATAGTTCTATAATGTTGCAGGCAAAGAAATCATGAATGATTTGTAAAACCAACTCAATTCAAAAAAAAAATTTTAAAATTCTTTAACTCATTTCAAACATTTGTTGAAGTTGATCATCTGTAATTGTTGCAATTTTCCTGCCTTAAGTTTTAAGATAAATTTAACAAATAAATATGATACATATATGGATAAAAAATAAAAGTATGTTTTTCTAATTTTTTGGAAATAGTTTAATGAAATAAATTTTTTCATCTAGCAAAATATTTGTACAACTAAACTTTTAAGGTTTTTTGGCTTGAATTCATGTGCACAGCTTTGAATGCTATTTTACCATAGTGTGTTTAGGGTGTTGGTAGGAGTGTTTCATAAATCAAATTTAAAATAATTTTTGGCGAGCATAATAAAATAACACTAGATTTACGAATATTTGTAATTTAAAATATTTTTAGGGGTTGCTACATTTGTTTAAATATGGTCTTAGAATTAAAGAAATAAAAGTTTTCTAAAGACCTTAAGAAAACTTATTTCTTCAATTTTTATTAAATAACAAATTTTTTGTTTTTATAAAAGTTTTTATATTTGTTGTTGTTGACTTTTTTAAAACTATTATTTAACAAAAGTTAAATAGTTTTTTTTCATGTTTTAATGCATAAAAAAGGACAATTTCAACAAAAAAAGAAAAAGTTTTACAACTTTTTAAAAACTTTTACAAGCTTTTTTACAGATATTTTTACATCCTAGTGTATTACCATAAGTTTCTGTACTATAAGAGGGTTTTTATATGAGGTGGACTAGCCCTATTTTCTGGGCTGGCTCAAATTTCAGTATTACATCATTATTGTAACTCCTAACCATCGGTATTTTAAATTTTTAGGGTGCAATTGGAACCAATATCACTATCGATGTTTTATGTGGTATAATGACTGATACTCAATTAGGAGACCCATACAATCGTTATGTAGCTGTTAATAGTTTAATTATGAACACTTATCAACAAAAGTGCTTAGATGTCTCATATGAGGATTATGTTGAAAGTATGAAGGAGACTGACTGGGGTTCTTCTGCTGGAGAAGGAGGTTGAGTTGTAAATAAATATAAATAAACAAATACTAAAAATAATTTATTGATTTTCAAAGTTTTTACTTTTTTATTTTTTCATACATATATGGAAACATCATATTTACTTATTTTTTAAGTAAATGTTGTTTTAATAATTTATTATGTTAGTTTATACATTTATTTATGTATAAACTAACATAACAAATATAAATACATTATATTACACTTAAATATACTTACTAGGGTGTCCCAAATAAAAAAAAAAATCTAATTTCCATTATATTAAAATTAAAAAAATTTAAGAGTTCTATTTTGACTGGATGTACTATATGTCAAATTTGAGTTTTAATATTAAGCTGGCTCATTAATGAAAAGTTTTACATTTTGGACAACAAATCAATTATGAGTGTTATAGGTGTATAAATCGTATGTTATTGATGTATAAGGTGATAAATAATGATGTATAAATTATATGCAATTGTTATTGCTACTATTTAAGCTTGGTAATTTACATTGTTAAATCTGAAAATACAAAAAAAAGACTCAAAACTAATATACAAATCAAAGATTTTATTGTGGTAAATTTTTTTTTTTTTAAATTCAACTATTTTAATAATTTCTAAGCATTATATTGGGCATATTGTTAGTCAAATTTATTTTAGTTTTTTGAAAATGATCTTTTTCTCAAGTAGCAATCTAAAAGAACATTAGGCTCTTGAATGAGCCTAATGTTCTTTTTTGCATCATCATTACCATTAGATATGTTTTTGATCCATACATAAAAAATTGAGGATGGTTAAAATTGAGGATAGTTAAAATTGAGGATGGTAAAAAACATCTATAGTGTTGAGATTATTATTAAATTTGCCAAATGAGGTTCTACACCAACATTTAACCATGTTGTTGGAATTGCAGTACATTATTGCATCTCTAGACTTGTACCAAGGTGATACTTAATTGATGAAAATTTTCAACCTATTTATAGTTATTTACTTTCAACAAAACATATTTAGTTTCTAAAAATTATAACATTGTTACTGAAAGAATACCTGTGCTTCTGACCATTACCCATCTTCATCCTCGCTTACTTCAGAGTCTTGATTTAACTTTTCTTTATCACTGCTGAATCGAAGTTCTTCTAAAGTAACACTAAAATATCATTGATATCTTTTAAATTTTTTTAATCTCTCTAATTTTTTATCTCTTAACATATCTAGCTTGTTATTTCTCCTATTTGTTTTCAGTACTCTTCTACTGTAGTCTCATTATATCTCTCCAACTTCTGGTCTTCATAGAACCTTTATTATTTTCTAAGTTAAAAAAAGTCATTTCTACTATTATACTTTATATAAGTCAGACTTTTTTATGACAAAAACTTTTAGTTTAAAGAAAAAGTTTTACAAATTTTTTTCTGACAGTGTGCTCAACCACATTTAATAGACTTCAATTGTTACACTTCCAAAGATAATACTTTCTAACTGTTTTTTAAAAGACTTTTAAAACTATTTTATCATTAAAACCATATTTTTTATATCATTCTTAAAATTAATATCATTAGGAAAACACATTAAAAAAAAAATCTTTCTTTAACTTTAGCATCAGAATTAGCAGGCATTGAACCTCTTGTTTCTACGCCAGAACTCTAACCACTGCACCAAGGCTGTAGTATGTTTAAGTAAGTAAACATTTGTGCCTAAGTTTGGACATAAGAAATGGTTTTTACATAGAAATGCAAAGCGCTATACTAATTAAAATTAAATTTCTCATTGCATTTTCCTATGGAAAAACTAGGACAATAACAACCTTAGCCTAAGCATAAATTGGTATCTAGCTTTCAGTGTACACCAAAGGTTTTGTGTATTGCATATGCTGTGATATATATATATATATATATATATATATATATATATATATATATATATATATATATATATATATATATATATATATATATATATATATATATATATATATATATATATATATATTGTATATTGTATGTTATGTATTGTATATATACATTGTGTATATACATTGTGTGTGTATATATATATATATATATATATATATATATATATATATATATATATATATATATATATATATATATATATATATATATACAGTTGTATATTATAATAGTATAAAAAAATATATATATTATAATAGTATAAAAAAAATTTAAGAAAGATAATTGCAGCACTGTATGGTTTTAAATTTCAATATTATCGATTGAAGGTCATTCGTATTTTTTTTTTGACTGTTCAATAAAATAGTAGTGAAAAAATAATTTTTGTGTAGTAATTGCTGTACTTATTAAATTCTAATTATTATTAGTTCTTAATAATAAGCAATAAGGAAGTAATTAGTTTTGATATTAGATAAAGTTATACACTTACTAAAATTTTGAAATTTTAGAGAAACATGGGGCGCTCTAAGCATCGTAATTTAATTATAAATTTTAAAAATCATGGTAAAACCTACAAACAATACAAGAACTGGTTGGGTGCTCACCAACAATGATTTGTAATGCTTTAAAATGGAAACCCAAACCAGAAAAACGTGGAAATAAAAGATCAACTACCGCTATTGAAGATCGTCGAATTGTATCGTTAGCGAAAAATTACTTCTAGAAAAATTAAAGAAAAGCTAGAATTAAATGTTAATACCTCAACTATTCGAAGATGATTAATACATGCCAATTTAAATGCAAGAACACCTAGAAAAGTGCCACTTTTGAGTAAAAGACATATCGAAAATCGTTTAAAATTTGCACGTATGCATGCTTCTTGGCCTAAAGAAAAATGGCGAAATGTTTTGTGGACTGACGAAAGCAAAGTTGAAATTTTTGGTTCCCATGTTCGTAAACAGTATGTTAGAAGACCAACAGGTGCAGCATATAAACCACAATTTACATTAAAGACCTTCAAACATAGAGGTTCAAAAACAATGATATGGGGTTGTTTTTCTTACTATGGTGTTGGGCCTATACATCGCATAGAAGGTATCATGGATCGATTTGTATATGTAAAAATACTTGAAGAGATCATGCTGCCTTATGCTGAAGAAGAAATGCCGTTAAAATTTTTGTTCTAGCAGAATAATGATCTCAAACATACAAGCAAGTTAGCCAAATCGTGGTTTAATGAGAACAAAATCGATGTGATGGAGTGGCCAGCACAATCCCCCGACCTCAATCTGATGGAAAACTTGTGGATTGACGTTAAACAAGCAGTTTCTGAAAATAATCCGAGAGGTTGTAATCAATTGTGGGACGAAGTACAGTCAGCATGGCAAAATATATCTGTTGAACGATGTCAGAATCTTGTTAATTCCATGCAACAAAGATGCTTGGCGGTTATTACAAATAAAGGTCAAGCCACAAAATACTAATGTAGAGCTTCAAAAAAAAATTTTTTTTTGTAATAAAACTTAATTATTTTTTGACCTTTTCATAAAAAATGATTTTCACTACTATTTTATTGCACAGTCTAAAAAAAAATACGAATGACCTTCAATCGATAATATTGAAATTTAAAACCATACAATGCTGCAGTTATCTTTCTTAAATTTTTTTTATACTATTATAATCACAACATTTAGTTTATGAACAATAGCGATAAAAAACAAACAATAGAAAAATATATTTTGATGTTCAAAGTTTGTTGATAGAAAAATAAAGTATGCACTACTATTTTACTGCACATGACTGTATATATATATATTGTATATTGTGTATGCACAAATATTATTAATAAAATAACATAAATTGAATAGTGTTTAATATTTAATAAAATTGAATAGTATTTAGAATATTTAACATTAGAATATAAGTTAAGTTACTTAACGGTAACACCAATTCTTATTTTTCTTTTTTAAATCTAACTTTTCTATTATGTTGTTTTTATCAAATTTAAGTACATTAAAAGAAACAATGATATTAAAATTGTATTTCATAAGTTATTATTTATACAATTTATATTTATAATACTTTACCAACTAATGTTAAATGTTAACAACAACAACAACAACAACAACAAAAAATCAACCTTTTAGGTAGGTAGGTTTTTTTTTCTTTTAGGTAGACAATGGCTTTACCAGACATGTACTGAATTTGGCTATTATCAAACAACAGATTCTAATAAACAAGTTTTTGGAAACATGTTTCCATTAGAGTGAGTTTTTTTTTTACTGCTCTTTTTTTGATACTTATTTTAACTTTCTATGCATTATTTCAATCAAATTTTTGATTCTCTTAGCATCTCAAGCTGCATTGTTGCTGCAATTTTATTGCTAGGTTTGTGCTTTTCAACTGTTGATTATCCAACTAACCATGATCATCATTTTTTTAATATTCATTTGTTTCACAAATTTTCTACTGGTTTCAATTAGGATGATTATGGCTGTCAAACATTGTTTTCACCAAAATAATATTATGACACAGAGTCGTTGTCTTTCTAAATCGTTCTTGGTTTACATCAGACACTGTCTTTGACTATGTATATCTGTAACACTGTAGATACAATAAACAACATTCGAATAAGACTGTTTAGCTCACACTTGCTCACACTTGCTAACAACTTTAAAAAAGCTATTAGCATTGTTTTGTCTTTATTCATAACTCATAAAAATTTGCATCTTATTAAACTATAAAAACCTTCTAAATAGTACTTGTCTGTAACAATTTTAGTATGTGGTAGTGCAATAACACTGATTGCTGTTAAGAGCACAACAGCTGATCAAGGCTTGTGTTTCAATGTCATTGAGTTATTAGAGTTGTTACTAAGAACTGGTGTAGTTGACTTAATTCTGGCCAAATTTTGGCGATAAATTTACCTAGAATTTACATTTGAAATAAAAGTTGTAACATGTAAACAATGTAAATAATTTAAAAAATTATGTGTGATAACGGTAAAACCCTATTGTGAGTTTTTGACATATAGAAATTTAACAAACTAAAAAAAGGTAGAATGCTGTCTGTAGTTTAGACTAAAGCATTTTTTTCTAATATTTTAGTTTTTTTTTGAAACAATGTGTTGACATTTTTGGAGACAAGTTTAATGAAAGTTCAATTAGTCAAGGCATAAATTGGTCGAATACTAATTATGGAGGTTACAAAATGAATGCAAAACGTGTAAGTTGTAATACTAATTGTGCTTTTTTATTTTTTTTGTATACTATTTCTGTAATAATAAAATTGCATATTTATAATTTTTAATTTTAACTTCATATCTTTAAACTTGATTGCAAGGAAAGGATAGTAACTAAGCATCAGTTATTAAGCTATGATTTGTTTACAGATTGTCTTTCCAAATGGTTCAATTGATCCTTGGCATGCATTAAGTTTTACAAAAAATGAAAAAGATATGATTTCTGTTTTCATTAATGGTATGTTTTCTTTTCTATTATGCAACTGTTTTTTTTATTTGAATTTGTTTAAAAACTATTACTTTTTAGGTACTGCTCACTGTGCCAACATGTATCCGAGTTCCCCCGATGATTCTGCTGAACTTATAAAAGCAAGACAATTTATTGGAGATTTAATTACAAAATGGCTTGTGACTCAAGAATAATTACAGCAGAATAATTATTAGAATACAGCTTTTTTTATTTCATATATATATATATATATATATATATATATATATATATATATATATATATTATATATGAAATATATATATATATATATATATATATATATATATATATATATATATATATATATATATATATATATATATATATATATATATATATATATATATATATATATATATATATATATATATGAAATATATATATATATATATATATATATATATATATATATATATATATATATATATATTATATATATATAAAATAACAAAAGCTGTAATCATATATATATACGCAAATTATAAATTACATTAAAATGAAGTTTTATAAATGTTTTTTTATTCTAATTTTTTTTTTATTATTGATTATCCATAAAAAAATGATATCAAAAATTGAATTATTTTTAATTTTTTTTTTTTAATTTTTTTTAATATTTACAAATTTTTTTTCACTGACTTTCTATTCAAACAAATTTGTATTTACTTTTTAACTTTTATGTATAAATGATTTTGTGTATTAATAATTTTTAATAGATAATTAATATTGATTATCATGTATTAGTTTTTATGTATATCAAAGTTGAAACTTTGTGAGCAATTGTTTAATATATAATTAATATATAATAAAATTTCAAGTTAAATGTTGTTCTTGTTTCATAGCATTTTCAAACTAGGGGAAACCGGGGCTAGTTTGCAGCAGGACTAAGTTGACAAATTATGTTTAACTTCTTGCCAGAAAGTGGTAGGAACCAGGAACCTTCAATTTGAACTTAAATTGTAGTATTGTTGAAAATTGTACATAAGATTTAATTATTTGTTTTTTAAGTAAATAAAAAACAATTAAATTGCTTAAAGAACAAATAATTGCTTAAAGAACAAATAATTGCTTAAAGAACAAATAATTGCTATAATTAAATTGAACAAAGCAAAATTTTTTTGGCATTAAAAAAAATTTTGCTTTATAGAATTTAATTATAGCAATTATTTGCTTTGTAGCATATAATTGTAGCAATTGTTTTCTTTTTAAGCAAATAATTGCTACAAAAAAATGTTAAAAATATTCTTAAAGTTAATAAGATAAGTTTTTTCTAAATTTTGCGTTTTTAATTATTGTATTAACCAACTTACTTCACCTTGGTGTAAGTTCTTTTTTTATTCGAGGCCCCAGTTGTGCCTGCTTTAATTTATTTTTAGAATGTTTAACACAATAATTTATCAAAATTCATATTTTTCAAAGCTATATTATAGCAATTATAAAAAATATGTACCACAGAGTACATTTACAGAGCTCAAACAGTAAACATTGAGGCAAATAGACCCGGTCACCCCTGTTAAGAAATTCTAAATTAAAGTTTTAAATTCTTACGATTTTTTTTTTAATTCATTAAAATGATTTTTTAAAAAACATTTTTTTTAAAGACTAAAAGAAGTTACAAAGAATATTGTCAGTTACTATAGTTATATCTAGCTTGACAGCACTTACATTGGAATGTCATATAGGCGATTACTACATTGGGGTCCTATAATTACATTATTCATTATTTTGTCATTGTTTATTATTTCCATTTTAACAGTGTTACTATGGTGGTATCCTAGAGATTTTGCGGGTAAAATTAATTTTGTTTTACTTTTTTTCTGGTTATTCAACGTACTACGAAATTTTCTCAATGCTGTTTGGCTAGGACCTGGATATCTTCCATTTCAATGGAGACCGGTAATTTTAACTCATTTGTTTTTGTAAAGCTTGAGCTTTATTTATATTACGTTTATGAATAAAGTTATTAACATTTATTAAAATCGCTATTGACAACCAACATTAATGTTTGGACCAAAACCAATAGTTTTTGGTGTTTATTTTTAACATATCAAACAGTTTTTGATCTTTGTTTTTAACTTAATTTGAAGATATATTTCTGATATAGAGAAAAATCCTTGTTTATGTTTATCAGGAATGCAAATTCAATTACATTTATGACAGCAATTGAAGTTTGGAATCTAGTTAAATCTTGCTGTGAAAGTAGTAAATAAATCAATATGTCTACATCATAATAACTTGTACAATTCAATTATTGTATGATTTGATTATTTAAATTCTAATTTACGATTTATGAGTTATCTGTACAAAAAAATTTAAATGCTTCAATATTTGAGACTTGATAATACTAATGATACTCGGTGTAGTTAAGGCAACATTAAAATATTACAGTGTCGGTATAATGTTTTGTTGACCACAACATTTTTTTGTTAAATGATAAGGTAAATTATTAAATGTAAATTATGAAAAGATTAAAAAAATTAAGATAATATAAGTTTTTAAATTTTGTCATAACAAAAAATAAAAATGTTTATAGTGAAAAAACCCGGGCCTGGAAAAACTTCTTAAAAAGTTTTTTATATTTTTAATCTTCTAAAATTCACGTTTGTTTGTCCAATTTTGAATAAGATTTTAAATTAATACATTTTTTAGGTGAAATCAACATAGTTCAAAACAGATAAGAACTAGGATCTGTTTATATTTTCAAAAGATTTTGAGCAAAATCAAGTTCAAGCTGTTAAGCAATATTGATTTAAAGACTCGAAAATGATGTTTTTTAGGTTCGCTTTTAGGGGTAGTAAAAGTGTTTTGGAAATTATATAAAAAAGTAAAACCTTTAAACATTTTAAAAACCTTAAGTAAATGTTATAATATCTAAAGCTCTTGTTTGGATATAATTTGCTGACAAAATTTTAAATAAAAGAATTTGAATAATTTAAAATCTAAAATAATTTAAAATTTAAAATTAAAAAATTAATAAAAAAATATATATATTAAAGTTTCATGTTCAGTTTATGACTAATTAAATGTAATCTTTCATTTTTTTATTTTGATGAAAATATTTTAGATAATTTGATCTTTAAATTCTGTAAACGTAAAATGTTTATCAGTTATGAATTATACAATTTTTTTAAATTTTTTTTATTTTATCAAAAAATAGAATGTGGACAGTGACATTCAGTTCCTTCAGTTTTGTGATGTTTGTCGCGGTTACAAAGCACCACGTGTTCATCACTGTAAAACATGCTCAAGGTTTGTTAAAGATTTTTGATTATTTTTTTAAAAACACACTGATTGATTCTTTACTTTTGAGATAAAAATAGTGAACAAAATATTTATAATAAAAATAATAGTAAAAAACAAAATAATAATAAAAATTATAATAAAAAAAAACATGAAATAGTATAATGTGATTGTTGTAAATAGTAAGTTAAACAATATTAAAACTGTTTTAATATTGTTTTATTTTTATGAATGTTTCTGGCTAATTGATTTTATTTCTTAATAATCAAAAACTTTTTTAAGGTGTTCTATGAAGATGGATCATCATTGTCCTTGGATAAACAATTGTGTTGGTCATTACAACCATAAAGCTTTTACACTTTTTCTTATTTTTGTGATTTTGAGTTGCTTGCATGTTACTACTATTATAGGGTTTTGTATATATAGCAACTTGTTATGGGTGAGATAAAGTTTTTTTTCTTTAATCTATTGTTTAAGTCTTTCATTTATATAATATGGATTAAGATATAATAATAATAAGATAGAATAAGTATAAAAATATATATAAATAAGTATAAAAAAATAAGTATAAAAAATTATATATATATATATATATATATATATATATATATATATATATATATATAAAATAAGTAATAATATATATATATATATATATATATATATATATATATATATATATATATATATATATATATATATATATATATATATATATATATCAAAGTATGATAAAGCTTATAATTATAACTATTGTATAATAAATATTTTTAGTGTAAAAACATTGTTAAATAAATTTTTTTAGTTAAAAGTTTTATACAAGTTTTTTATTAATAAATAAGGTCATTAACAAGTTTTTCAACCAGATAAAATATATTTATTAATGACTTTTTTAGAGGCATGGTCGTATTTTCATAACATATGATAAAAACGCTTTCATTCAAATGAATCACGCAGTTATGCTTATTTTGTTTTTTGGTTTTGGAATGTCACTTAGTGTTTTTTTATCTGTTGCTTTCTTGTTCTATTTTCAGGTGATTTTTATTACTTGTAATTGTTTGTTTTTGAATGTTTGAAATTTTTTATTCTTTTTAGAGTCACTTTTTTAAATTAAATTTTGAAAATAATCTTTTAACTTGAAAACACATTTTAATGATAAATATAGCTTAGGCTTTTTTTTAGTTTTACAGTTTTCTTTGTTTTTAGTTGTTATCTATTATACGCAATCAAACAGGAATTGAAACCTGGATAGTGGAGAAAGTATTGTTTGATATTATACTAAAATTTTTTAATATTTTAAATATTTTAGTTTTTCATAAATGTTGAATGTGTTTAAGGAATTAAATTAAAAAATATTTGCATACTTGTATAAGTTATTATATAAGTTACAATAATATATTTCTAAATATTTTATTTTATATTTTAAACTTTAGACAGTTGTCTAAAAAAATGTTCAAAGGAAGTTATTTTTTTGACAAACGTCAAAGTAAACTGCGAACTGAAAATATTTTTTGTAATCATATAATGACTGTTTTGAAGTAAAATCAGTTTCTTTCACAGGCATATTTATATATTTCAGTTTAACAATTTTAAAAAATATAAAATTTTACTTGATAATTATTTATAAAAAAAGCAAAAATAGGGTTTTTATGGTGTCTGCCAAATCAGGAAAATCAGGGAAAAGTCAGGGAATTCAGATATATGCAAAAAAATTAGACGATTATCAGGGAAATTAGAATTAAAAAAAAAATCAGCAAAAATGGCTCTTCATCAAATTACATAACTTAAATAAGTTGAATATGATATGCAAATACAAAAGTTTATTTGGCAGATAGTTTTACAAACTTCTCTTGATAAATTGAATGTGGATTGTACTATGGTTTATATTTTTGCAGTTGAAGAGCATTTTTCTATATGAATCTAAGTCAATTTTTGTGAAGTTGAGTTTAAGTAACTTTAAATTAAATCAGGGAAAACAGGTAGAAGCTCAGGGAAATATCAGAAAAAAGTTAGGGAAATCCACCTATAATATAAATATTGAAAAAATTAAAGTTGTTCTAGAGTTATTATGTTGTCAAAAAAGTTTTATTAAAGCAAAAAGGAGAAATAATGAAATATATTTCTTAGGCTGAAAATCGGAACCGAGAAGACAAGTTTATTTATCCTTATGATCTTGGTTGGTTAAAAAACATTAAGCAAGTAAGTATTTACGTAGTAATTAAGTAAGCAAGTAAATTTTCCTTGCTTTTATCTATTTTTTATATTTACAAAATAAGTTAACATAATCAAATATAAATGTACATAAAAAAAGGAAATAATAAAAAAAAAAACAAAAGTAAAATTAGTTACACAACAAAAATAATAAAACATAAATGTATAAATAAGTTGACATAAATGTATACATGCATCCATGGTCGTAGGTTTAAATCCATTCTAAAAATTTGATCAAAAATAACAAATATAATACTTTATTTATATAATATTTGGGCTGATACTTTATTTATTTTTTATAATATAATATTTTTATATCAATAAACTAGTTTTAAGTAAGAATCTTGGAAAAATTTTTTAGTTCCTATTACTTTTGATTTTGTGATAAAAATGTGAATTTTGCTTTTATTCTATAATTATACCTTATACCTTATGTTTATCACAGTGATTACACAGATCTATTTGTTTATCACAGTGATTACACAGATCTATTTGTTTATTACAGTGATTACACAGATCTATTTGTTTATCACAGTGATTACACAGATCTATTTGTTTATTACAGTGATTACACAGATCTATTTGTTTATTACAGTGATTACACAGATCTATTTGTTTAACACAGTGATTACACAGATCTATTTGTTTATTACAGTGATTACACATATCTATTTGTTTATTACAGTGATTACACAGATCTATTTGTTTAACACAGTGATTACACAGATCTATTTGTTTATCACAGTGATTACACAGATCTATTTGTTTATCACAGTGATTACACAGATCTATTTGTTTATCACAGTGATTACACAGATCTATTTGTTTATCACAGTGATTACACAGATCTATTTGTTTATCACAGTGATTACACAGATCTATTTGTTTATCACAGTGATTACACAGATCTATTTGTTTATCACAGTGATTTCACAGATCTATTTGTTTATCACAGTGATTACACAGATCTATTTGTTTATTACAGTGATTTCACAGATCTATTAAAAAATGTAAATAGTGCTTTTTTATTTACTATTTACATTTTTTAACAGTTAAAAAATGTAAATAGTGCTTTTTTTTGTGAATTTATTGAATAATATTTTTTAATGAGAAAATAGAAAAAAAGATGTGAACTTCGTTAAGGAATACAAGAGCAAATCGTTCTATTGCATTCACAAGAAGAAAGTGAGCAAAGCATTCCAAAAATATTGTAATTTTCCTGTATTACAGTTCGACTTTAAAAGAGCACAAAATTTTCAGAAGCCTTAAAAGTAGACGTCAAAGTGGAGTAAAAAAAAACTACAGCTCGAGAAGGCCAAATGGTATATTGAAGGGCTTTACAAATGATGTTGCAGAAGTAACTGGAGTCAATATTTTTGCCCGAATTGTTAGAAGAAGATTGACAGAATGTGGATTAAATGGTGCCAGGCAAGAAAATAAATTTAGCCTTCAGAAAAAAGTAAGAAAAAAAAAGCTTGACATCTGCAGAATGAGTAAAGTAATCTGGTTTGATAAATCCTACTTTGAGGTAAGCAAAAACTAACTAAGTTCTTTATAAATATTGAATAAAAAACATCCTTATAACTAAATTTACATAAAAAACAAATAAGCACTAAAACTTTATGTTTTGGATTTTTTTTACAAATATTTTCAAACTGCTGACGTATTATTACGTCAGCAGTTTGAAAATATTTGTAAAAAAAATCCAAAACATAAGTGAGAAGAAGACATGTTGATGCATTTTTACCAGTGTTAAATTTAGTATAGTTAGTGTAATAACATTGGGTTTTCTGGCTGTGGAAGAACCAGTGATAATGTTTTTGTGCAATGGACGCCTAATTTAAAAAAATATATTAAGCGTGTTAAAAGCGTGTTATGACACATATTTCTAAATGAAGATAAATTTTCAATATTGTTCAAACAAGATATACTCTATGCCATACTGCACATTACTCAAATGGTTGGTAAAAAATAAAGCTTAAATTTTAGAATGGCTAAAATTTAAGCTTTGTTTATTAGCACAGTTGCCTGACATTAACCCTATAGAAAATTTATGGGTAATGCTTAAAAGAAGGGTAAGGACACATAAGGTCACTTTAAAAAACATTTGATAGAAGTTATTGCTCTTAAATGGGCAAAAATCACACAGACAGATTGCAAAAAAATTAGTTGGTAATATGAAGCCAAGAATAACAGAGGTGATAAAGGCCTAATGGGGTGAAAAAAAAAGGGGGTCCAGCAAATAGAGTGCAGCAAATGGGGTGCAGCAAATTGTTTAAATATTATTAAAATGTTCATAAAATACTTTTATCCATAAACACGCTTATTTCACTCTAAAATCAAACTTTATTGCATATTTTCAAAAAAGTGAAAGTCAATGTAAACTTGACACGACTGTATAAGTTCAACTATAGGTATACAATTATATCGAGATCTTTTTTTTTTTTACAGGTTTTTACGTGGTCTTCTTATTATATAGGTGATGGCATTGATTGGCCAGTTCGTCAAGGTTCCAATAAACATGCACTTACTGTAAGTCTTACAAAATACACATTTTAAAACTTTTATCTCTAGAAAAAACTTCATTGTTGGTATAGCTTTTTAAGTTAGCTTTTACACTTATATTAAAAATTATTTATATAAAAAAAAAAAAAAATTATTTATTTGTTTTATTATGATCTATCATATTTATTCATGTATTGTTAAACAAAAATTCAGTTCCAATTCATTTCTATTTGAGTTAAACTCTTTATCTTTGTTTAGATAGAGCAACTTCTTCAGAAAGAAATAAAGAAAGCAAACGCAGTAAGTTAACATACTTCTCTTTTTTAGTTTTTTTTTTTATATATTTTTATATAAAAAAAGTAAAATTTTTGTATAGCTTTTTCTCTATTTTTTTCTTTCACTTTCAATATTTTATTGTAAACAACTTTTTTTTACTTGTACAGTGGCTACTTTTTAAAATTGATGCAAAAAAAACTTTTATTATTATGGAGGTTTTGTCCAAATTTAATTTTAGACAAAATTTTAACCAATTAAGCTTTACTAAGTTTTTTTTTTAGTATTATAACTGAAAGAATATAAATGAGAAAGTGATAGTTCCTATTTTGTCATAAGATTTTGTCTAGCATTGTGATTATCTCTTAAAATTCATGCATTTTTGCTTATTATCGCTGGTACATTTTTAATCAAAATTAACTGCAGCTGATATATCTATAGAGAATTTCTCTACAAGAACTTCCCATCTTTTTTTTATCACTTCAACTTTTATCACTTTGTTATGCCTTTGTAGTTTGTTGCTTTTTTCTACGTATTTTGTATCCATCTATAATTGGTGTTACATATGCATTCTCTCGGATCCTTGTGAGCAACTCTGAACAAGTCTCTTTTTATACTTGTTTTGTAATTAAGATCTTTTTAGTATCCATTACTAGTCCTTTGCTTTGGTTTGCATTCTACCATTACTTTATATGTTATTACAGATTTAGATTTTGAAAACTAGTAAACTTTAGGTGGATGTGACAGATTCTTCAATTTCTGGAAACAAAGTGAAATAACAATCTTCTAGATGACAGTATGTTATTTAAATTTTTTACAGCTGCATTAACATAAAACCAAAATTTGTTTGTTTTGAGAATTTTTTTTTTAATTCCAGCTTTCATAAATGAGTTTTTTCCTGGAATTCCTGGAATTCCGGAAATTCACTTTTAATTTTCCAGAAATTTCCGGATGTTTTTTGTTATTAATTTGAAAAAAAAAATTATATATTTTTACATAAAATTTTAAATATGACAATTTTTGTATTTAAACAAATGTTTTCTATAATTAAAGTTTTTATGAGATCAATTTTTGTAACAATTTTTTTACTTTTTTTTTTGCTTTTTAGTTCATTCAATTTAACTTTTTCGAATATTAGAAATTCCTTTTTGTAAAAAGTTAAATATTCAAAATTCCGTTTTAAAAGTTTACAATAGACACGCATATATAAATGAATAACCCTGTAAAACGATCAATTTTTAATTAAATAATTTTCTGGGATGTTCCGGGATTTTCATAAAAAAAAACTTACAGGATTTTCAAAAAGTCAAATACTCATCTTTTATACTCATCTTTTGATTTATTTTAAATGTTTTTTAAAAAGTAGTTTTGAATTCATTTATCCTTACTTTTAGGTACCAACAGTTCCTGTAAACATGTCTGCTGCTTTGCCTATAATAAAATATTTTTTAGTGAAACATGTTGTTTTTGATCTAACCAACCATCTGAGGCAGTGAAAATGTCAAAGTTGTTCTTCTGAAGTTGTTTTTTTATAACCAGTGTCCTTTCTAAACCTCACAACATTTCGGTAAATGTTTGTAGAGCAATATTACTTGTACCTTTTGAAATCTCAGATAATTGTAACTTAATGTTGTTTACAAACGGTAAGGTACTTACTGTTGTTCACAAATTGTAAGGTACTTACTGTTGTTCACAAATTGTAAGGTACTTACTGTTGTTCACAAATTGTAAGGTACTTACTGTTGTTCACAAATGGTAAGGCACTTACTGTTGTTCACAAATTCTAAGGTACTTTCTGTTGTTTACAAATTTTTTTCTAAATTCATTGAGACAGAAACTTTATCCAAATTATAAAAAAGTTTGAGAGAAAGTTACAACATTTAATTTCTCACCAAGTTACAACATGTAATTATTTGCGATAGATCAGAAAATGAAAGTCAACTTGGCAAGTTTGTAGTTAGTATGGTTTTTAAAGAACGAATAGTTTGGTTTATTTCTAAAACTTGAGAAAAATATTCCATCATTTAAATTAAAACTTATAACTATATCATCTGATTTAAACACGTTTTAATCGTGAGGTAGTTTCTAGTTCTTAATTAATAATTTTTTAAAATATCTTTTGGATCGTAAAACAGTTGAAAGGGCAAAAAAAAAGTTAAATTGTTTTTGAAAACAAAAGTAAGAAAGTTGTATAAAATACTGTAAATAAAAAAATATATATTTTGTTACCGTGTTTAGGCATACTTTTTTAATGTCTGATTTATAGAAGGCTTTTACAGTAAAAAATTGTATATGGTGGAGTGAAAATTGTTCGCTTTATAAAGTGTGTGCTTTTCTACATCAGTTTAAAACTTATTTCAAACTTCTCTACATCAGTTTGCTTTTCTAAACCAGTTTAAAACTTTTTTCAAACTTTTCTACATCAGTTTGTTTTTCTACATCAGTTAAAAACTTATTTCAAACTTTTCCACATCAGTTTAAAACTTATTTCAAGTGTCATTGTCTGCTTTAAGAAGGTTCCTTTGTATACAAATTATTTTAATTTCTAGGTTGATATTATTTTTTTAAATGTTATTTCTAGGTTGATTATGTTGCGTGTTCTGTTTATTCTGGATATCGTTTTCCTATAACCTTAGGTTTAAAGACTTGCTTTGATAGTCCTTGGATTGCGGATTCTAGAATCCCATTAAATATAGGCGATGAGTTTCTTGCAACTCGATGGCGAAAGTATGATTTTTTTTCAACTACATGTTTTAACAATATATATAAATAATATTTTTTTTTTATAATATATAAATTATATATAATATATACATTATATATAATATATATTGTATATATAATATATATTGTATATATATATATCTTTTTTTTTTCTAAAAATGAATGTTTGAAAAAGTAAAAATGCAAAATGCAAAAATAGAAAACTATTTATGGCAATTAACAATATCTTTTTCGTTAATAGAAAGAAGGTAAAAAAACTATTTCACAGGATCCTTAATGTTAAAGTGTTTTATCAGGTTCTCTATTTGAAAAAATTTTATTTAGTTTTTCCAAACAAGAATTGAATAGAACCTGGTTTCAATTAGGCTTTTAAATAAAAACCATTGTAAAGGCGTTTATATAATTAAAAATAATTGTCCTCTTTTGTTTTTTGTTCTTTTTTTTTTTTGCTTTTTAAAGGATCATAAAAAAAAAGGGATTTTTATGGGAACTGTTTTTTTAAAAGATCATAAAATCAAGTCTCCCTGATAAGGTTTACATCATCCGAAGTGCATAAAGTCTGTATATTATATGTAGTAATGGTCACAAAAAATTGTCAAACACTACTTGTGTTACACTCAAATTATTGTTTTGCAGTATCGCTTTTTTTTTTTAGACATTGGGTATTTGGAGAAAAGTTACAAAACTCGGCTGAATCAAGTATATATATATTTTTGTTTATGTTTATATATATATATATATATATATATATATATATATATATATATATATATATATATATATATTATATTAGGGTGTCTTCAAAAAAAAAAAAAAAAAAGAGCCCTAGTTTATCATCTGCCCAAACCATGATTTAGTACTAAAAAAAATTTTGTTTAAATTTTTAAAAATCTTAAGGGTTCAGGGGGTAAAATGGTCAATTTTTAGGGCATTTTGCACCATTTTTAAAACTTTTTGTAGGAAGTCTTGACATGAAAATTTTTAATTTTTTTTTTATATATTTATGTTTGTTAAGATTTATTTAATCTAAATGAAATAGGCTCTACTCTAAAAAAAAAAAACAAAAAAAAAATTGTTTCAAAAGACCCTAAAATCCATAAATATTTAGGAAAGCTCATAAAAATACGAAATATTCTTAAAATTTTCTTGAAACTCATTAAAGTACATTATTTATTTATTTTTGATACAGTACAATATTGATTTCTCACTTATAATCAGCTTCAAGAACTATTCTGGGAAATATATAAGAGAGCGCCCGTACAGGGAAAGAAATTACTTAAAAAAAAAAAATTAATTAAATTATTAAAAATTTCAACTCAATAAAAAAGTTTCATTTAAATTAAAATACAGCAATCCCATTAAATTTATGAATTTTTTTATTCTTTCTTAAAGAAGTAATATTAACAAATAAATGTACATAAGAAACTCGACTTTATTTGTGTTTGTACTAGCAGCTTTTTCATAATCCATTTTATTCTTCCCGTTTCTGTTTTTTCTGTTACTATTTGTAAAGAGAAAGGTATCCTGCCTTTTTTCCCCAGAATATGCTCTATTTATTAGGTCTTGAACTAATTTGTAACCTCTCAGAACAGTCATTAACAACATCAAGTTCCTTAACTGTTGCTCTAAATTCTAGATAAAAATCGTTGAATTTCCAAAATTCTGGTGAAATCTTCATCCATTAAGTTTCTGCCTTTCTATGCCTGAGCATGTCAAAAACTAGCCATGACTAGTTTTTGACATGCTCAGGAGGCTCCAAACTAGGAGGTTCCCCTTTACTGAGGCTACCCCTTTGCTTGGTCCGTAACCTGGTGCTGCAAAGGAAAACTTGGAGATCTTTGTAAACTATGCAGTTTTTTGGCCACCTCGTTTCCTACATTCTTTATCTGCTAGTGCAAAAACTACTAAAGTAGAATCTAGGTACCAAGAATGTTTGAGAATAAAGTTTGAAAGCCAAGTAGTTCCGTTCCTTACGTTCCATTCCTCAAACCTTTTCATTTGCCTTTAAGCTTTCGTATCCTAATAAATAATATTGATTAATTCTTACTTAGCTAAGATAATATTGATTAATTCTTACTTTTCTTACTTTACTCGTGTTTACGTATTTTATTTGCAGAAATTTTTCTATATTATAAACATACTTAATTCAACATTTTTGAATTACTTTAATCAATAATGAGCTTTCTAACTTATTCAAATTTTCAAACTTACTCAAAGAATCAAATACTCAATGATTGATACCTGTGTTGGTGCTAAAGAATTCTGCTTTTAGAAACCACTCTGTATAGAAAAAACAAATGAATAAAGCTATACCAGTAATTTCTTCTTTATGTTAGTCAGTCAGGTTTTGGATTTCATTCATTAAAGGATACAGTTTTAAATAGTATAAACCTTTTCCCATAAAAATGGTGAACTGGTCCTGGTAAATGAAATTTAAACCTATTTGATGATAGAACCATTAAAGTAAGTTCAGCTAGCTCATTAATATTCTTTTCTTATATTTCTTTCCTAAAAGGTTTTGGATATAATATAAATTTGGAATAAATGTTGCTTTTTAAAAGCAAGGTTTAATAAAAAATGAATAAAAATAAAAATATTAACCTTTTTGAAAGTCTTTAAACTGATCACATTATGGCAAAACTGAACAGCAGCTAGTTTTGATCTATTATATATCCATGTTCCAGGTGGTATTGTTATTCTTTTCAGTTACTTAGTTTCAGCATCTATACTGTTCCAGTTTTGTTTTAGAATTTCAAATAGTTTGTTTTCTGGACCAGAAGTTTTGCTGCTTGGGTAAATCTTCCAGAAATGGGCTAAGTGTTGCTCATTTACATGATGTCTACATGCAATTAACAATAAGGGACAATTTGTTGAATTATTCTCCTGCAAGTACCTTGCCATTTTCCTGTATTTGCAAAAGTTGTGTCAAAACAGAGACATTTAACCTTATCTTTTAATCCGAAAAATTTCATCAATTCTAAAATAGATTGCTTTTGATTAACCCCTGAACTAGAATCTAGCGGAGGAATGCCAAGTTGTTCTGTTTGCGCATCAATCCTTACAAAAACTGCGATTTTATCTTTTTTAAATTGCTTTCCCTTTGTTAAGTAGAACTTTATTAGTATAATTCATTCTTATATAATTCTGTTGAACGGATTTCTATTTAACTTTGATGCGCATCTTTTACTTCTTACTACAGAATACTTATCTTTTATCTCTTCTGTTATCTCTTCTTTATCTCATCCTTTTCTTTCATTAAGCTGGTTTTTTAAGTAAGCAATATCTTCCTCTTTGTCTTTCACTTTTCTCATTTTATCTTTTAATGTTTCTTCAAACATAACATGAGGATGTTCTCCGATCCAAAATACCTTATTCATTTTCTCTTCAAACAAATGTCTTTTTTTTATTTCAGTAGGATTTGTTCTGTTTCCTTAATCTATTAATTTCATCCGCTCCTTCAACAGTTTCTCAATTTTAATCCTGTTAAAATATTATTTAACAGCATTTATGCAATAAACATAGATTAAAATAGTTTTGAACTTATTGAAAATATTACTTTAGCTTTTGTATTGTAAGCACTTTTAAATTCACCAAGTATGCAAGGAACCATTAGTTTGGACAGTATGCAGCAGTCGGACTGATCAACTGGACGATTATAAAAGAAGAATTTTTGTTTTACTAAGAACTTTACTTTTTCTTCACACTTTGATTATCGTAGAAAGAGATAATATTGAATATTTTCTTCAGCAATTGCAAATTTTTTTGCTGAAAGTTTTTTGATTAACTTTTTAACTAAAATTATTTTATTCAATCGAATACTTCTAACTTTTATTAATTATTTAAGTATATAATCTAGAAAAAGTTATAAAATATATTTCAAAAAAACATATTAATTACTAAAAAAATGCAAAACTTTATTTAAAAATTTTGAAAAAATTATAGTACAGTGGGATATAATTGTACAAAAATATTTTTATTTGTTAAATATTTATAAATTTTAGGGTTTTTGAAACAATATTTTTGAGTTTTTTAATTATTTTTTTTTTTTGAGAGTAGAGCTTATTTTATTTAGATTAAATAAGTCTTAACAAATATAAGTATTAAAAAAAAATTCAAAAATTTAATTTCAAGACTTCCTACAAGTAGTTTTAAAAAGGTACAAAAACGCCCTAAAAATTGCCCCTTTTACCCCCTAAAGGAACCCTTAAGATTTTTAAAAATAATAATAAATAAATTTTTTAGTACTAAATCATGGTTTGGGCAGATGATAAGCTAGGGCTCTTTTTTTTTTTGGAGACATGTCCTTTTTTGAAACACCCTAATATATATATATATATATATATATATAATATATATATATATATATATATATATATATATATATATATATATATATATATATATATATATTGTTTAATTTTATTTCTTGTTTTAAAGATTTATCCTCCAATAAATATGCGCTTGAAGTTAAAGGTTGGGTTCCACGTTGCTGTTTGAAAGATATATACGATAACAAAAATACAAGTTCACGTGATAGAAAGTACAAATAGTTGGAGCTTTGTTTAAAGGATATAAGCAAGACTTTATTGTTTAGCAAACTCTTTTTTATCAAACCCAATTCATGTAATTCTATTGTTAGTTAGGTTTATATAAATAAGTATTTAATATCATTAAAAATTATTATTCAAAATAAAAATTAATGATGCATTCAGAGTGGAGTGTACCCTACAGGCCTTTTTTTTTTTAAAGTTACGTTTTAAATGTCTTTTAAACGTTCTTTACGTAAGAATGTTTAGAAGACTTTTAAAATACATTTAAAACGTAACTTTTAAAAACAAATGCCCGCTGGGTTATATAAAAATATAACTACTTCAAGCATTATTAATGTTAAATTCAAAGTTGTCAAACAAAGAGGCGGTTCACTCTTTTTGTGAACTTTCTATTCTGCGCCGACAAAAAGAGTTTTTTAGCGTGGTAAACTATTTTAAATTTGTTTTTCGTTTTTCGTGCCTTTTTCCGTTTTGCTGTCAGATGTTGAATTTTTCAAGTTAATCTATCCATTGGATCATCGAGTGGACGACGTTGCAGCAATCCTTTTGGTGGCTCTTAAATTAGTAAAAAGTGCGAGGTTGTGCTGAGGAAGCCATTGAATTGTCTGATGTTGACAAACTGCGTTAAATGCTAAAGTTACTTTTTTAACTCCTTTGCCATTCTACAGAACTCGAAAAAATTATACAGTTTAAAAACAGTTAGTTTTAAATAGAATAAACGTATGTCATAATATTTATCGTTTCGACGATAAATATTATGACATACGTTTAAAATATTATGACATACATTTAAAAAAAATTATGAAAAATAAAAATACCAGAAAAATAAAAAATATGAAAAAAGCCGGATATTTAAATGTTTTCAGCTTCGCCTGCCGGACAGATGATTAAGGATAAAAAGAGAGGGCACGTCCTCTCTTTTCCGGACGTCTGGCAACCATATATATGTTTGTGTGTTTGTATAAATATATATACATATATATATGTATATATATATATATATATATATATATATATATATATATATATATATAAATATATATATATATATATATATATATATATATATATATATATATATATATATATATATATATATATATATATATATATATATATATATAACCCTAGATGCGCCTTAAGGCAACAGTAAAAAATTTACTACCCTAAGGCGACTCATGAAAATTTTCAACTTTTTTTTTAAAAAAAAAAGCGCAACAGATTCGCTAGAGAATAATGATGATTAATCAGTTACTGGTTCGAGAATTTAATATTTACTGAAAAAGTTACACGAGTTATATAAATTTGCTGTCTCCTTAACGTTTTTTGTATATTTTAAAGTCGCCTAAAGGAAAAAAAAACCCTAGATCAACTGTAAGGTGACAGATTTTTGTTTAGATGTAAACATTTTTTTTTTATAAAGATTAAGTTGACAAATGTTTATTTACCTCGTTTATCGTTTATATTCGGAGCATATTTCAAAATAATAACAATTTTCTTTTTTATTATTTTATAAAGTTTTAATACATTATTATAACAAAAACTCGAACAACCACAAAGTTAACAGTTTAAAATACTCAGGGTTTAAACGGACGCAAGTAGGCACCATATTACAGTTTTAACACAAATTTCATTAGAAAAAGCAAGTTACCTCTTTTTAGGAAAACGTTTATACTTTTTTATTATACTTATAAGCTAAAATAACGCGTGTTAATCTACAGATTTAATACTAATTGAGATTTAATTGTTTGGTAGCAGGCTTCCTTCTGTCATATCAGCCTGCAAAAGGCATAAAAGCAACCTAGTAGCATTAATCAATTCCCATAAGTGCAACGGTCTTCTTCCAAAAATTCTGTTTTATTCTTCGAGTTTTAACAATTCTTGTTCTGATTTGTTTGAGGTCTAAACAAAATATTTCTGCAAATACTTCCATTTCTTTACGGCCTTAAAATAGAAAACAATAAATTATTAATTTTTGAAAAAAATAGTAATAACCGAAATCTCTACAAATAAATCCAATTTTTTTATAGCCAAATTACAGGCCTTTTCAACATGTGAACAGTTAAAATTTAAAGATTTTACTGTTTATGTATTAACTTTTCTATAAATGTGTTTTTGTAAAAAACACTAACACGTTGAAAAGAGCAACGTAACTAGTTTTTTATTGTTTTAATGAGTACGCTTTTACTGGGCGTAAACTGAAAACCGCATTAAAAGCAAATAAAAAGACTTCATAATAGTAAAACTGATGAAATACCTGGATATCCACGATTATTTTTAAGGTGAAGGGCAAATTCTTTGTTAAACGCAACTTTACTAGACTTATTCCATGACTTTTTTTCATTTGTTAAATTTTTCTTTTTATTGATCGCTTTTTCTGAATAAAATAAAATTAGGTAAGACATTTTTAACACTTCGTTTCCTTGATTTAATAAACAATAATAACTAGCTTAGTAAATAATAAGCAAAAAGGCAAAAACTCATATAATTAAGGGGAAAAGACATTAATATTTAGAAGTGAATATATAGAGGTTTAAAGTAAAAATATACAAATACTTAAGTACGTCAAAAAGTATTAACAATTACAATAGCATATGCAATTTCAAAACTATCAATTTATGACAGTTAATCTAATTAATTACTTTCCAAAAAGTTAAAATGCCATTATTGTTTAAAAGAGTTATAACATTTAAATAGAGTTAAAATAATTAAATTCTTTAAAAATGAATTAAAAACGTTTAAAATCTTTTAGAAAGCCTTTGACTAGTGTTTACCAGTGGGCTCGTCCATAAATTACGTTACGCCATTTTTGACTATTTGTGACCCCTCCCTTCCATATCACAATACCGTGACAATGAGAAACAAGTTACGTATTAGTCATCATAAAGCCATTAACCCATCTCCTAGAGCGTGAGGTCATTACATAGTGGGATGACCCCAGTGTAATGATTTACCAAACTTTGTCAGTATTGGCTTCAACAAGCGTCCTTAAGTTAAAATTGGGATATTTTTATTTTATTTAAACATGGTTCAAAGGTTAAAAAAAATAGTATTATTTTAACTCCAAAGATTTATCTACCATACTTTAAAATAGGAAATACTAACTTAATAAATGCATTTTAAAAACGTAAAAAACACAATATAAGCATTAAACCTTTTTCAAGTTTTAGCACTTGCTTTATCTTTGTAAAATCAACTAAATAGAAATTATGAACACCTTTCAGAGACAAATTATACAATCCAAAAAAATGAAATTAAAAAACATAAAAGAGAAAATTATCGACAATCAGTATTTAACCTGAGATTATAATAATAATAAAATTATTTCATATCAAATGTACTCAAAATAGCTTTAGCATAAACAAAACAAAAGTAAAAACTTATTATTTAGTAAAAACATCAAAAGTAATTTTTTAACCTTTTAAACATTATGTTAAAACAATGTTATTTTGCAGCTATTTTACTTCATACAATATTTATTAAACTAAATTTATTTTGTGGTTTCAAACACTAATTTGTTAACCGCTTTTGCAAACAACTTTTTTTTGCTTGAAATTTTCATTAAAATTCAAATATAAATTAAAAATACAGGTACTATCACTTTACTTAAGTTTAGAAAACATTTAATGTTAAACTTTGAAGCTTGAACTATGCTTGTGGTGGCTTAAGCATCATATCAATTTTTTTTATTATTATTAGAAAATGAAGAAATTGTATAACTTTTAACATTTTTAACCTTCATGGAAAGATCTTTTAGGATACTTTTTTCTTCCAGTTTCACTTTCTATAACTATAAACAAAATGATAACAATATAAAAAAATAATAATTAAAAACCTTACCTAAAAGAATACAAAAAAAGTAAACAAATAAAAAAAATCTTTTAAACCTTTTTTTAAATCAAGGACTGGCCTAATTTTTAAACCACTATTCAGTTTACTATCATTTTTGGTTACTTACTCAACTAACAAGTAAAAATAAAATAAAAGTATAAATCAATTAAAAAGTAATCTTTTTATATTTAATTCAACTTTAAAAAAGCAATCAACATTACTCACCATCAGTTGGTATTACATGTTCTCCTATAGTGCGTAAGTCTTGTTCAGCTGAATTAGAAATAATTGACTTGAATGGAGTTAGATCAACCTTTGTCACTTCTTGAATAGCTCTTAGTCTTTTGATTGTTGTTTTTATTTGTAAGGATCCAGGAGCAGCTTGGTAAAAATTTTGATTGATTCTTTCTGAATGTCCAAAGTGATTATAAATTAAAGTTTTTTCCTTTTCTGATAACTCCAGCTTTGCTAAGATTGTAGCAATACGATGCCGATTTTGGGTGGCATTAATAGCACCTTTTTTATCTAAACGAATTAATATTTCATTTATGCAATGCCGACCACTAGCATGGCTCATGCTTTTTTAGATACTGGTAAAAATATATTGGTTTTCATCAGGAATTCCAGCATTTTTCCTAGCTTCTTTGTTTGTCAGATATTGCATTGCTTTTATGCATTCTGGTGGAAAGAGAACAGGAACTGTGTGATCCGAACCTTTCCCTGTTTGATAAGTGATAAACATTTGCTTAATATCAAATTCTTCAGGCAGACCTTGTTTATCCATCCATTCTCCATTTAAAGCCTCATTCCACTGAAATAAGTGTAAATAATAAACCGCACAGGTTCTCCACCTCGTCTGGCATTAAATATAGTCAAACATGTGGCAGTTGCAGATCGGATAGTGACAAATGATTCACATGGATGTTGAAAATCATCATTAGAATTCATAATTTTGTTACATTCTTCAATAAGCAGTTGAACATCTGCTTCATTTGGGAGATTAATTGGTTTCCGCAAATCAATATTTTTACGATAATTTAGATTAGAATAAGCATCACCAAATAAATCATCTTCATAAAGCTTAAAAACCGTTAAAAAGTCAACTACTCTCTGAGATTTCAAATCATCATTTTTTACCAAAAAGTAACCAATCAAAAATTTTGCTGTTAACTTTAATAAACTAAGTATACTGATTTTTAGGCCACTTTTTTGTGCTTTTAATAAAAGATGGTCCGAATCTTCATTTGATTTTTTTGATAAAGAATTAATAGCTTCTCCAACTAT